TTTGACCAGCAGGATGCAGAGGTGGTCTGTAGGGAGCTCGGCTGTGGGGCTCCTTCAGTCCTCCAGGGGGCGCTCTATGGAGAAGTGGAGGCTCCGATGTGGACCAAAGAGTTCCAGTGTGGAGGCCATGAGTCTGCTCTCCTGGACTGTAGAAGCTCAGGCTCAGCTAGAAACACCTGCTCACCTGGAAAAGCTGTTGGACTCACCTGCTCAGGTAGAAGAAGAGCTGCAGCTTTGATTTGGTTCCTTTCTGTTCTGATGAAACTCACTTTATTGTTTTACTGATGACTCTCTGGTTTCTGTTCAGAGCCTGTCAGGTTGGTGGGAGGAGCCAGTCGCTGTGCAGGAACACTGGAGGTGAAACATCAGGGAGACTGGAGACCAGTGAGTTACTCTGTCTGGACCCTGAAGACAGCAGCTGTTGTCTGTAGAGATCTGGACTGTGGCTCTGCTGTTTCTGTAGGACAGAGAATTGAGTCCTCAGACAGACCTGTGTGGTGGATCAGGTCTGACTGTGTTCAGTCTGGATCTGCTCTGAGGGAGTGTGCATCATCAGGTTCCTCTTCCTCCATCCTGGATCTCACCTGCTCAGGTAAGCCCCAGATGTATAAAGACGTGTTCTGTTGTTAATGATGAACTGATGTTGGAGTTGTGCTGAGTCCAGTTTGAATCACTGAATTGTTGTTTCATGACTTGTTTTTATTTTGTCTCTGGTGTCTTTATCTCTACTTCATCTTCTATTATATCTCCAGACTCTGTCAGGCTGCTGGACGGGACTAGTCTGTGCTCAGGCAGACTGGAGGTGAAGTCTAACCAGTCTAACCAGTCTAACCATTGGTGGTCCTTAGTGTGTGAAGCTGACTTTGACCAGCAGGATGCAGAGGTGGTCTGTAGGGAGCTCGGCTGTGGGGCTCCTTCAGTCCTCCAGGGGGCGCTCTATGGAGAAGTGGAGGCTCCGATGTGGACCAAAGAGTTCCAGTGTGGAGGCCATGAGTCTGCTCTCCTGGACTGTAGAAGCTCAGGCTCAGCTAGAAACACCTGCTCACCTGGAAAAGCTGTTGGACTCACCTGCTCAGGTAGAAGAGGAGCTGCAGCTTTGATTTGGTTCATTTCTCTTCTGATGAAACTCACTTTATTGTTTTACTGATGACTCTCTGGTTTCTGTTCAGAGCCTGTCAGGTTGGTGGGAGGAGCCAGTCGCTGTGCAGGAACACTGGAGCTGAAATATCAGGGAGACTGGAGACCAGTGAGATACTCTGTCTGGACCCTGATAGCAGCAGCTGTTGTCTGTAGAGATCTGGACTGTGGCTCTGCTGTTTCTGTAGGACAGAGAGAGGAGTCCTCAGTCAGACCTGTGTGGAGGATCAGCTCTGACTGTGTTCAGTCTGGATCTGCTCTGAGAGAGTGTGCATCATCATATTCCTCTTCCTCCATCCAGAATCTTACCTGCTCTGGTAAGCCCCAGATGTATAAAGACGTCTTCTTTTTTAATGATGAACTGGGGTTGGGCTAATAGACGATGCCGTCGTCCATCGCTGAAGTCGATGGTTGAGCAGACATCGTGATTGTAAAACCCCGCCCCCTGCCACAAAAATTTTAAATTTTTTACATAATAACACCATGTGAAAGCAGGTTTTAATCACCACAAACTATATTGTAAATTTTAAACATGCTTCGCATGGGGCGGCTGTGGCTCAGGAGGTAGAGCAGGTTGCCCGTTAATCGGGTCGGCGGTTCAATCCCTGGGGAGATACTGAACCCCGAATTGCCCCTGGCGGCTATTCCGCCAGTGTATGAGTGAGTGTGAATGTTAGTTTCCGTTTGAGCACTTAGGCTCAGTGTATGAATGTGTGTGACTGCAGATGTAGTGTAAAAGCGCTTTGAGTGGTCGAAAAGACTAGAAAGGCGCTATACAAGTACGGAGCATTTGCACCTTTCCATTGGCTTCTCTCAGAGTGTTCATGAACCGACTAACTGTTTTAACCACACCCTCGACCTTGTTTTGGTGTATGGTATTGAAATCAAACATTTAATAGTGTTCCCACAGAATCCGTCTTTATCCGACCACTGTTTGATAACTTTTGAGTTTGTATTGCTGAACTACACGCCACTGGGCAAAAATTTCTATACAAGATGTCTGTCTGATAGTGCTGTAGCTAAATTTAAGGATGCGATTCCATCAGCTCTAAATTCATTATCAAGTTACAAAGTAACAGAGGACTCCTATGCTAATTTCAGTCCCTCCCAAATTGATCATCTTGTTGATAGTGCTGCAGGCTTGCTGCGAATCACACTCGACTCTGTAACCCCTCTAAAAAAGAAAATACTAAAACAAAGACGGTTAGCTCCATGGTATAATACTAATTATAATACTGAAACTCGCAAATTAAAGCAAATATCGCACAAACTTGAGAGGAATTGGCGTTCCACCAAAGTGGAAAATTCTTGTTTAATTTGGCAAGATAGTCTTACAACTTATAGGAAGGTCCTCCGTAAAGCCAGAGCAGCGTACTACTCGTCATTAATAGAGGAAAATAGGATGTTTAGACTGTTTTGCTTCCCTCAATCTTTACCAACTAACTTCAATAATTTCTTCATCTAAACCATCAACCTGCCTCTTAGACCCCATCCCGACTAGGTTGCTTAAAGATGTTTTACCCTTAGTCAGCACCTTTATACTAGATATGGTCGATCTATCTTTATCAACAGGCTATGTACCACAGTACTTTAAAGTAGCTGTAATTAAACCTCTTCTGAAAAAGCCCAAACTTGATCCGGATGTTTTAGCCAACTATAGACCTATATCTAACCTTCCATTTCTCTCTAAGGTTCTGGAGAAAGCAGTTGCTAAACAGCTGTGTGACTTTCTACAGAGCAATAGTTTATTTGAGGATTTTCAGTCAGGATTTAGAGCTCATCATAGCACAGAGACAGCACTGGTGAAAATTACTAAGGACCTCCTTATTGCATCAGACAAAGGACTTGTCTCTGTACTGGTTTTATTAGATCTTAGTGCTGCATTTGATACCATTGACCATCAGATCCTATTGCAGAGACTGGAACATTTCATTGGCATTAAAGGAACCGCTCTAAGCTGGTTTAAGTCCTATTCATCAGATCGATTTCAGTTTGTACATGTTAACGGTGAGTCCTCCATGCATGCCAAAGTTAGTCATGGAGTTCCTCAAGGATCTGTCCGCGGCGACCAATCCTCTTCACTTTATATATGCTTCCTTTAGGCAATATTATCAGGAAACATTCCATAAGCTTTCATTGTTATGCAGATGATACTCAGTTATATCTATCGATCAAACCAGATGAAACTCATCAGTTAGCTAAACTTCAAATGTGCCTTCAGGATGTTAAAACCTGGATGACCTGTAATTTTCTAATGTTAAACTCAGATAAAACTGAAGTTATTGCTCTGGGGCCTAAGCACCTCCGTGACGCATTATCTAAAGATATAGTTTCCCTTGATGGCATCGCCCTGGCCTCCAGCACCACTGTGAGGAATCTTGGAGTTATCTTTGATCAGGACATGTCGTTTAAGTCTCACATTAAGCAAATTTCAAGGACCGCCTTTTTTCACCTACGTAATATTGCGAAAATCAGGAACATCCTGTCTAAAAATAATGCAGAAAAACTAGTTCATGCATTTGTTACTTCTAGGCTGGATTACTGCAATTCCTTATTATCAGGCTGCTCGAAAAAGTCCATTAAGACTCTTCAGCTCCATTAAGACTCTTCAGCTGATCCAGAATGCTGCAGCACGTGTTCTGACAGGAACCAGGAAAAGACATCATATTTCTCCTGTTTTAGCTTCTTTGCATTGGCTTCCAGTAAAATCCAGAATAGAATTTAAAATCATTCTTCTTATCTACAAAGCTCTTAATGGTCAGGCACCATCTTATCTTAAAGAGCTCATAGTACCTTACTACCCCACCAGAGCACTGCGCTCCCAGAATGCAGGGTTACTTGTGGTTCCTAGAGTCTCCAAAAGTAGACTAGGAGCCAGAGCGTTCAGCTATCAAGCTCCTCTCCTGTGGAACCAGGTTCCAGTTTGGGTTCAGGAGGCAGACACCATCTCCACATTTAAGAGTAGGCTTAAGACTTTCCTCTTTGATAAAGCTTATAGTTAGGGCTGGCTCAGGTGAGTCCTGAACCATCCCTTAGTTATGCTGCTATAGGCCTAGACTGCCGGGGGATTTCCCATGATGCACTGAGCTCCTCTCTCCTCTACTTTCTCTCCCTCTGTATGCAACCTTATCCCATTATTGCATGTTACTAACACAACTTCTCCCCTTTGCGGTAGTCTTGTGCTTTCTCGTCCCTCTCCTCTCTCCTATCACTTCCTGCAGGTTTTCTGGCTCTGGAGCTGTGGAGTCTGGATCTGTGGTTGCGGGTCACCTGCTGCCCCTGTGTTCCTGCTCGACACCCTCTGCTGCAACGACTATTGTTACTAGTCCTATTGTTATTATTGTTATTATAATCATTAACATTACGACTGTTACCATTAACACTACTATAAATATCTGTACCATTTTTCATAGCAACATCACCTTCACTGTCTGTACGTCTGTGTGTGTATATTGTGTAAGCTGCCTCTCTCTCTCTCTCTCTCTCTCTCTCCTTCCATCCCTCTCTTTCTCTCTCTCCCTCTCTCTGCCTCCCTCCCCTCTCTCTCTCTCTCTCTCTCTCTCCCTCTCTCTCCTTCACCCCAACCGATCGAGGCAGATGGCCGCCCACCCTGAGTCATGGTTCTGCTCGAGGTTTCTGCCTCTTAAAAGGAAGTTTTTCCTTGCCTCTGTCTCCTAGTGCTTGCTCTTGTTGGGAACTGTTGGGCTTCTGTAAATAGCATCACAGAGTACGGTCTAGACCTGATCTTTTATGAGAAGCGCTGTGAGATAACTGTTGTTGTGATTTGGCGCTATATAAATAAAATTGAAAATTGAATTGAACCTTCCTTGGAATTCTCTCCTCCCCACACACAGACACACAAGATGCCTAGACCTCAGGTAAACACACCGGCTTGCCCCACCTCTCTCTGTTTTACCCTCACCCGTCTACTCCACTTTCTCCATCAGCAGTAAGTTTCATGAAGTCGCCTAGAAGACTCAGAACTTGTCTTTTTTTACGTATGTTTCCACCAGAGACCCGTTATCACGGCAGCAGGTGAGCTGCTTGTGGGCTTGTTAATGACGCAGCCTATGAAACAACCTAAACCAACATCTGCACCCTGTGTGTTCTTTACCTGTTCCATACTTGTAAAATTTCCACTGCGACTTTGAATGTCATAGGCGACCAAGTTTTTAATTGAGTAAAGTCTGTACGAGTGAACACATGTACATAAGACTACAATATAGAAATGAACTTACTTTTATACTATGTTCATATTTTTGTTGTATTTCTATTATTGTTATTGTCATTAAATACAATAAATTAATTTGTTGATGTATAATACATATATTATTTATTATTGATTTGTCATTACTTTATGTAGTAAAATGTTTTTTCGTATGTTATTTTTTGTTTTGTTTTTACTTGACTAAAATACGTTTACTGATTATATCGATAGGTGGAGGTGTTAGTTAAGCCCATTTGGGTTTTTTGCTTCTTCCTGCACATTATATAGTTTGATAAAATTTTTATTTATTATTATGAGTAAAATTGTCATTTCTATGTATTTTTAACGGTACAAATGCAATAAAAAAAAACAACAACAAAAAAAACAGTTTTAATGTAGACATTGTCCGATGGAAATTTTGTACACATCGCCCAACCCTTTGCTGAACTGATGTTGGAGTTGTGCTGAGTCAAGTTTGAATCACCGAATTGTAGTTTCATGACATGTTTTTATTTTGTCTCTGCTGTCTTTATCTCTACTTCATCTTCTATTATCTCTCCAGACTCTGTCAGGCTGCTGGACGGGACTAGTCTGTGCTCAGGCAGACTGGAGGTGAAGTCTAACCAGTCTAACCAGTCTAACCAGTGGTGGTCCTCAGTGTGTGAAGCTGACTTTGACCAGCAGGATGCAGAGGTGGTCTGTAGGGAGCTCGGCTGTGGGGCTCCTTCAGTCCTCCAGGGGGCGCTCTATGGAGAAGTGGAGGCTCCGATGTGGACCAAAGAGTTCCAGTGTGGAGGCCATGAGTCTGCTCTCCTGGACTGTAGAAGCTCAGGCTCAGCTAGAAACACCTGCTCACCTGGAAAAGCTGTTGGACTCACCTGCTCAGGTAGAAGAGGAGCTGCAGCTTTGATTTGCTTCATTTCTGTTCTGATGAAACTCACTTTATTGTTTTACTGATGACTCTCTGGTTTCTGTTCAGAGCCTGTCAGGTTGGTGGGAGGAGCCAGTCGCTGTGCAGGAACACTGGAGGTGAAACATCAGGGAGACTGGAGACCAGTGAGTTACTCTGTCTGGATCCTGAAGACAGCAGCTGTTGTCTGTAGAGATCTGGACTGTGGCTCTGCTGTTTCTGTAGGACAGAGAGAGGAGTCCTCAGACAGACCTGTGTGGTGGATCTGGTCTGACTGTGTTCAGTCTGGATCTGCTCTGAAGGAGTGTGCATCATCAGATTCCTCTTCCTTCATCCTGGATCTCACCTGCTCAGGTAAGCCCATCAGTGACATCATCTATGACATCATGTATGACAGTAATGTCTCCAGTGTGTCCTCTCCTCTGTCTCAGTGTCTCAGTGGTTTCCATTGGACTGAACTGTAAAGTTCTCCAGGACAGTGACGTCCTAAAGTGTAGAGAGGTGGGCTTGTTTCTGGAAGCTTCACCTGACAGGACACACCTGGAGGAACCTGTCTGTCTGTCTGTCTCTGTGTTTGGGGACGTCCCACCAGGTGGATCCAGTCCCTCCTTTTACAGTCTGTCATCGCTCTGCTCCATGTTTGTTACTCGTGTCAGACCTGTGACATCACTTCCTTTTTCAGGGGCCATTTTGTTCCCTTTCACAAAAAAAAAAAGTTATTTACATCAACAATTCAATTGTTGGGTAAATCTCATTTAAACTTTTGAAGTTCACTTCTTTTACTAACCAAACGTCACAAACTGGCATGGGATGTGCACGGCCCAGGATTAAAACTGCTCAGAAGATCATTGGTACCCATCTCCCGAGCATCAGTGATATCGGTGAGGTGAGGTGCCTGCAGAGCCCAGAGGAGACTAAAGGACAGCACCCACCCAGCCACAGCCTGTTCACCCTGCTGCCTTCTGGGAAGAGACATAGAAGTTTCTGCTGCTGCACCACCAGACTGCAGAGCAGCTTTCCCCCCCAAGCTACCAGACTCTTAAACTCTAATTCATCCTCAGCACTATTATTTGACAGAACACTGGCGTTGAAATGTTGTACAAAACTCCATTATCATCCATAAAATGAGCGACTGCCCAAACTCCTTTAGATCTCCATTCATCGATGAACAAAGATTTCTATTAACCAAAATGTATCTGTTATTCCACACTGGTGTGTTGTGTGGTGTGATTATATATTAACTTCCTGTAGAGAAGGACTTGCTGATGGAAAGCAGAGAGTTTAACGGGTATTGAGCTGCAATCATAATCACACAGGAGAAAAAAATGTATTCCACACATTTTTTGAAAAATGGCATTGGAGACAAACCAAAAAGAAAGAGTTTAAGCATTTCAATTTCAAAACACTGTTCATGATATCAAAATCAGTCCCATTCATACCGCCATCTTCATAGTTTTAACCATGTCAGTCTTCCTTGTATAACGGAATTTATTTCTCCACATGAAGTTAAAATTGATTGTATTCACTGCTTTGATCATACTCACTGATATGGGTAAGGAGAAAGCCGGGTAAATGAGTCTGGACAAACTATCCGTTGTAGAGAGTAGAACCCTTCCTAAGATTGTGACGTCGCTCTGCAGCCACCTATTTAGAATTGACTTACATTTGTCTGATTCCACGTATTCATATAGCCAATTGTTCTTTTCCCTTTGGAAATAACAATTCCCAAGTATTTAACCTGCTTCTTAATTTTTATATTATGTAGTGACTGCAGAGGATAATCATGTAAGGTTATCACTTCACATTTATCTACGTTCAACTGTAAGCCTGAGGCCTTAGAAAACTGGCTGATCGTCTGTAACGCTAAAGGGATTCGATTTTCATCCTTTCAAAATAAAGTTGTGTCATGAACAGAGGGTGAATGAGACCTTTCATCATCTGTGTTTACAGACCTGCTGCTTCAGCCCAACATCTCTGTGTCCTCCTCCGTGAACGGGGTCTCCGAGGCCCAGCAGCAGGGGTTTCAGGTGTTCAGGGGCTCCACCTTCACCATCAGCTGCTCCATCCAGCCACAGTACCCAGGAGGCTCCTTCCAGCTCGCCTTCACCTCCTCCATCACGTCACACAACTACACCCAGCCAGCTGTCAATCACTCTGCCCACTTCCTGTTTCCTGCTGCAGAGCCCGCCCACCAAGGAAGCTACAGCTGTGTTTATCACCTCCATGTTTTTTCTCATGACTTCTCCTCTGAGAGCCGTCGGCTGTCTCTCACTGTCTCAGGTAAGCTGAAGCAGAGCAGCTGAAACGTCACACTGACTGTTTCCATGCAGCTTTGGAAAAGATGATCCGTCCAAACTGACTGAACACGATCAGCTGACAGTTTCCAAGGATGTTGTGTTTCTGACTGATTCTGTGACTGATGTCAGGTACGTCAGGTATGTCAGGTGGCCCTGAGGCCTCAACGCACTGGAAACTAAGGTAACATGTACGTTTTTGTGGCGTGGCCCTGCCATGCCCGGTGTGTTCGTCCCTTTTTAGATTCCCCTGGAAACAGTTTCCACTGTCTTCTGTGCTACTTGTAGTGTTTTTGTTGGTGTTTTTTTGTTGTTATATTTGTGGAATAACGAGGAGATCTGCTGTATGTTGACATCATTCTCACTGTCCTCACCACCCTCCTCCTCCCGAACAGGGAGCTAGCTAAACTAAGCAGTAAGACCTGCATCAGGGTCCTCCACCATGTCCCCACAGCCAGCACTAGCCGAAGCCATCTTGTCTCTGGGTTTTGCAGGTGGGAAAAGCAGGGGTCGGTTTTTGAAGCCACCGACACCCTGAAGCTCTGTTGCAGAGTTGTTAGCATGGAGCTGCTCACAGGAGTCAGTGAGCAAAACCTGGGCATGTTTAACTCCCACTCCAAGATGCAGAGATCCTAGTGTGGTAGGGAAATGTCCACAAGAGCCCACATATAAATTTTTATTTCTAAAAGCCAGAATCAGACACCAAGCCAAAGCCTGCTTAAATGTGATTGGTCCAGAACAAGAACGCTTCCAGTACCAAAACCTTGTCTCTTGCCTCCAGATTCTGCATTCAGATATCTTTTGATAGAGATTAATGATGGACTGAAGTGGTTTTGGGAGACTTCAGGTCACTACAGTTTGTGTTTAACAGGAGCTGATGGACTCATGATGTTGTGTGATGTGATGTCTGTCCATGTGTTTGATCAGATCCAACAGGTCTTCTCATCAAAGTGGTCGTCCTGCCGCTGACTCTGCTGTTGGTGATCGCTGCCCTTTGTTTCTACTATAAGGTACTGACACATGTCTGTTGTTTAGAGGACTGAGATGAAGCACTCGGTCTGTGTTTACTGACCTGAAGAAGAGGAGGAGTGATGCACTAACTCTCATGTGTGCTGTCATGTCTCTCCAGGCCAGCAGGGGGCAGAAGCCGGGCAGGCAGGAGGACACTGAGCTGGATTATTATATAGTAGGTGTTTCTGCAGCTGAAGGAGGGTCGACTGAAGAGGAAGGAGCTCAGGGAGCAGAGTAGGACCTCCAAGGAGCTCATCTCAGCTGCCTCACAACCCACCATCAGCTCAGTCAAGGATTTTACACTTTTGTACTGATGTTCCCTTTAAACAATACAGATGGAATTATTAGATTACATTATAAACTCTGTTTTTATTACTCTCAACAGGAAAAGAGCAAAACCAACAATGTGTTAGTCTTTTCAGACTTCCTGTCTGTGGCTTGCAGCTCCAAGCCCATTGGCTCCTACTGAAGACCTCAATCTTTAAAAGTCCTCACAAATACAGTTAAGACCAAATGTATTCATACCCATGCCAGATTTTGATTCATAGTGAATTTTCAAATTGCCAACAGGTTTCATTAGGCTGGCAATGACATAAACAAGTGACAAAGACAGCAAGATATTGTGTTAAAGATTTTAATAATAAATCTTTTAATTTGTACTGAAAATGTTATGTCTTCCTTTTGTTGCATCATGGTTAGCATCATCAATTCCTCAACAGTCTGAAACAATTACCGCTCAATCTCTAATCTACCTTTCCTCAATAAAATCCTGGAAAGACCTGTGGCTGCCCAGCACCATGTGTTCCACCATTAAGTATTTGAACCCCTCCAATCACAAATTACCTTCTCATTTCTGTGGACAGCGTTCTCATCAGTATACTCATTTTCTTTTACCTCTCTGAAGCATTCAACACTATCTCACACATCCTCATTCTTCACAGCCTCAGAACTTATTAGCCTTACTGGCACAGCGCTCTCCTGGTTCCTGTCCCATCTCTTCAACAGGAAACAATATATCACCTTCAAAGACTTCAGCTCCACGTTGGCGCCAGTTAAAAATGGTTTTCCCCAGGGATCTGTACTTGGTGGAGCCCTTCTTTTCAATATCTACATGCTACCCCTTGGCTAGATGACATGGACTTTATTTCCACTGCTATGCTGATGACACACAACTGTACATCAGCAACCAACCCTCAACCCAGCTCCCAGCCGTGCCACTTGTTAACTACCTGCAAGACACAAAGACTTGCACAATTGCTAACTTCCTCAAACTCAACAATAATTAAACTAAACTCATGGTGGTGGCTCCAGAGTCGCTGCTGAAGAAGGCTGGCAACATCCTCCTGGAGGTAGATGGCTGCGCCATCTCTGCATCCCCTTAAGTCTGAAACCTGGGAGTCATCCTGGACTCACCCTTTCATTCCAGTCTCACATCAAAAACATCACCTAATCTGCCTTCTACTATCTCAGAACATTTCCAGGCTCCGGCCCTCACTCTCTGACTCTGTGGATGAGACTCTCATTGTATTTTTCATTACTGCAGTGGTGTACTCTTTGGTGTGCCCTGCAAAGCCCTCTACAGGCTCCAATAACTCAGCTGCTACAGTTTTAACATGCACTAAATTCTGGCAGCACATCACCCCTACCCTACTGCTGCTTCACTGGTTGCCAGTCAGGTCCTGCGTCACTTACAAAATCCTCTTCCTCACCTAAAAATACTATTTTTTTATTTATTTAAATTATTGATTTTCTCCACCCGTACATCCAACAGAGATATCTGCAGTCCTGTGACAAAGATCTGCTTGCTGTCCCCCATTCCAGACTATGGTATTCTGGGGACCGATCCTTCTGTGTTGCTGCCCCCACACTCTGGAACAAACTCCCACTTGAGATCCACACTGCCCCTTCCTTGTGCATGCTTGAAAAGCATCCAAAAGTAAACCTGGGTTCCAAGTTCACGGAAGTCTTCAGGCCTTAAACACAACTCTCATACACCCCCTTTTTTGTTGGGTACCTTGAAAAGCGCAATATAAATTATTATAAATTATTAGTATTATTATTTTGTCCAATGTTTCATATCCCATTAAAATGTCCTCCAGTAATCAATGGCAAAACAGTCACAACAATTAAACGGTTTTTATATTTGCTAATAAGCTTTTTGCATGTCTCTACTGGGATTTTGGACCACTCCTCTTTTGCGATGATCTCCAGGTTTTTGAGGTTGGAAGACCTCCTTTCCATCACTCATGTCTTTAGTTCCCACCACAGATTCTCCATTTCCATTTCTTGACCACTTTGGCTGTATGTTTGGGATCATTGTCTTGTTGGAAGATCCAACGCTGCCCAAGGCCAAGTTTTTCTGCAGACTGCCTGATGTTTTCCTGTAGAATCTCAATATAGTCCTCTTAATAATATAAATAATGCTATTTACTTTGACAAGGTTGCCTGGCCCATTGGGTCAAAAGCATTTTCTTTCTTTCACCAAATAAAAGCCACGTCCTTGTGTCCAAACAACTCAGTCTTTGTCTCATCCGACCACAGAACTGATGACCAAAAGCTTTCTTCTTTGTCCAGTTGAGCTTTTGTGTCTTGTCTTGTGGTTGGCGTGCATAGAGACCAGCCTTGTGCAGTGTCTGCTGGATTGTCTGAGATGTTGGTACCACAGTTGCTCAGATTCATCAGGACAGCCTTGGTGGTGATTCTTACTGGCCTCTCACACCCAAGGCCTTTAGGAATCCTTGGGTATAGCTTAATAATTACAACAATTATTACTAGTGGTCACTTTGTTATTAAATGTTTAATTATTTCTTATGAGTTAGTTAAATCAATCAGTCAGTCTCAAATCTGAGGGTCAGTTCTTTGTACAGTGACCTGGATCACTAAATAGTACACACACACACACACACACACACACACACTCTTGTGTTCCAAGTGAGTATTTATTAATTAACTAAAGTGAATACAAGTGAGGGTAAATGGATATCATCAACACGGCCACATGGTGTGCGCTCACTGGATTTTAGTTGTATTAGTAGAACAATAAAGCCTTAAACTGAAAAGACATCCCAGGTCAAAAAGAAGTGCTCTTAAAGGTACTGAAAATATACTTGAAATTCACATAGTATGCTTATAGTACATTCATGCTTCTAACATGCTTACTACAAGTATATTACAGATATATTCTGCTGACCTTTAACATACTTCTGAAAAGTACTTTGAATAATTTGGTAATAAATATATACTAAATTAAACTTTTAATAAATATGCTTAAATAAAAATATATTTTTACAACATTTTAGTCTATTTATTAAAAATATATTATTTAACTGTTATACCTGTGTTTATGTAAATACTGTTTAGGTGTACTTTGTGGAAGTACATTGTTAAACAATTACACTTTTAGTGGGTTAAAAATATATTTATGCCAAACATGCTTCATTGTGTAGGCTACTGCAAAATATTGTAATTATTTATGTAATTGCCACATGTTTCAGCCATGTTTCCAGTGGTATGATTTTTAAAAGCATATTATTTCCTTTTTTTTTCATTTATTTTCCTTCTTTTAATTTAGTTTAATCAGGTAAATAGCTAGTTGAGATAAGACCTCTTTCATAAAGGTAACCGGGCCTAGAAGGAAGCAGCACATGTTGTTAACTTAACAAACAACAACATATTGAAATAAGCATACTTTAAATCATATTGTAGTTATACATGTTTCTGTTTGTAAACAGTAAACACTTGTACACAGGGCGGAAGTGTGCCCCCGCCCAGCCCACTAGCGCAGTGCATTCAGTAGGACTAATCAAAATCAAGGTTTTCAAATCAAGTCCTCTTCACGAAAGTTGCTTACTGTTGCTGAGAGAGGGAAGCTATTTCTGGCCAGAAATTATTTTGTTTCTCTGGTTCTTTTGTTTTACTTTACTGACTCGGATTTGGAAGGTGGACACCTCAGACATAATAAGAAAAGAACTCAGAGGAGAAGAATATCCAGTCAGCTCCCTGCAGAAGTTAAATGTGAAAAGAGCTAAAGAGGCGCGACTGGCAAGTTACAAGCAGGAGAGGACAGACGCAGATAACGTTAACGAAAGTTGAGCTCACTTTGGGTTTGACAATATTTTCCTTGGTGGATAGCTCTGATGTGCATTAGCTAATGCTAGCACGTGGATTAATATATTTGTTAGCATTTTTCAACAACTTTTGTCTGCCTTAAACAGTGTTGGGAGTAACGTGTTACAAAAAAACGCAATTAACGTTACAGTAGTTTATTGCTTTTTGCTGTAAGGCAATTTTTAATGTTACTAAAATTTCGGTAATATACAGTCTCAGTAACCTGTTGCTGGAATTTGATGCATGAGATTTTAACCAGGCAGGTCTGTGCATGTGTGTGTGAGAGGCCACAATTCTGCTTTTGCACTGTTAAAATGACCAGTAAGGTCTTTATCAGAGTAATAATGCAACCAATATGTTGCTGTCTGTGTGCTAGGTTCACATTTTTAAAGTCTACCTGAATACTCACATGTCCATGTTTACAGTAAGTTATTGGTCATTGTAATCATTATTATTCCTGCCCATAATGTCTGTAAGTCTGAAGCTACTATAAATCATCAGCTAAGCATCAGTGTTAGACTATTCAAAAGTGCATATCCTCAAGGTTTTTTCTCTTCACTGCAACCATGGAGGGGGAATCATTACAGTGACCAATAACTCTGTTATAACAGCAGTGTTAAAGCGTACATGCATATGTGAGACTTGTTTTAAGACGCGCTTGAAATAATGTTTTTATGTACTGCAATGCCTGAACACACGATATAATAGCATGTGATGTCATGTAAAATACTGCTCAACTTCATGTCCATTTGTATGGTCATAGATACTGTATTCAACTAGAAAATTAAATAAAGAATATTAATAAAGGTTTGCTATAAGAATAGAATTACAGTGTTTATAATGATACGCAAATGAAGAACTAAACTAGGTGGAAGTACTGGCCTGACTGAATATTTACTATATCTCATTTGCAACTGCATTTCTTTTCTTTTAGAGCTTCCTGGGGTCGTCGCCTCACTCAGATGGCTTAGAGGCCGCGAAAACCTCAAAGAACCAGCTGGACCCTCACAAGCTCCATGTGCTCATAGGTATGTCTGGCTCCTGCACACCATCACTGTTTTTGCTCTCATTACATGTCAGCGGGGTCAGACTATATAAACAAATATTCTTGTGAAAAAATAATTTTATTTAAAATATTGTTATACATTAAGTAATTGGCTACTTTTGTACTTCACTAATTGACTGCTGTGTTAATGTGAAATGACATGTAGACAGAACAGTTTTTAAGCAAGTCTGTATGTTTGTATTATTTGTTGTACCTGTTTAATAACATTTTATCATACACTGCTCCTTGGCTGAATGCACAGTAGAGTTTATGTGATGTTTTTGATCACGTTGTAATGGAAGAACCGAGCGTTTACTGGCACGGGTCCCTTGTGGAAAACCATTTCACCTCAGTGTTTCCCACACATAGGCTTAACTTGGGCTGGCCGCCCAGGTAGATTAACAGCCGCCCAAGTAAATTTGGCGACCCATGCGTGAGCTTACTATGAGCTTAGAACAATGATCAGGCAAAAGGTGGTTGCAACTTTGTGCAGCCAGAGAAAAACAAACGCCTTGCTCCCGCGGGGTAATGTTATGTCATGGTGATGTGACATCACGGTGACGTTTTGCAGCGCCAGGTGTTGTGACAAATTCTGCCTGCCTGCCGAGAATTAGATGCACCTCGCGTGTGGTAACGCCCTTTTATGCTGAGAACAGAGGTGGGCTCAAATCTCGGCAGGTAAATTAGTCTACATCATCTGTTCTGCCAAATTGTGCATCCAGCTGTATAGGACATTTTAAGACACTTTGCTGTGCTCATTGATCAACTGCGGTTACCACATATTAAGTGCTAAATCAAAAAGGAAGGCTGCTTCTACTAACTGTAGCTAATAAAATATCAATATCGAATCATTTACCATTTGCTGTCAAAGTTGCATGTTTGGTACCCTGTAGACCTGTGTTTGAATCTGGGCAGGGTGACGGCGCTCGCCTTTGGCCGCATATGGTGTCAGAAGTGGGACGGCTCGCCGAGAGGCCGTCTGAACCGGGCCCAGAGTCCGAACCGTATGAGGGACCCCCGTGGGTAACATTAATGATGGGATGTGTATAGTGTACTTTTCAGTAATACTGATCATCATTTTACTGATTTTATTTTCATTTGAAGGTATTTTGGTCAAGATGTGATACATGCTGCTGTACCTTTTATGTACACAAAATTATTTTTTTTTAGTTTTCTGCGTGTGTGTGTGTTGTAAAATACTATTTTCTAACTGATTTTTATTATTATGCTAAATGGGCATTTTGCAAATTATTTTTAATGCATTAATAATGAATTATTCTCATACTGAATGGTTTCATAAAGCAGCTTCCTGAGATATTAATAGTGGCTCTTGGAGTATACTAGTAATAAATTACTAATATGCTGAAATGCTAATAAAAATGTTGAGGGAACACATTTAAAATATATTTAAACTGTTCTTCAAGTGTAGCACAAAAGGGTATTTTAAGTTAAAATTTAAAAAGTATATTTAAATTACAGTAAAGGTACTTAAAATAGGTCCATTTTAACACAACTAATTATATTAAAATATATTGCAACTATCTTAAAGTTGACTTTAAGTATTGAATATTGTAAGAAATAACACATTTATTATACACTTAAAATATGATAAGTGCATCCAAAAAAGTGCTAATTAAGTATATTTCTTTATCACTTGGGATTTACCTGATTTTCTAAATGTTTGCATCTGCCCAGCTCTGTGACTGTGACAAGCCTCAGAAACCAGGCGCTCTTCTGTGTAACTGAATCATTTCAGTTAATGAAGCAAATGCAGGTTACAGGCTGGTTAAGTTATGAAAGTATGAATGGAAAATGTAGCATTCTAAAAAAGTAGATTACTGGCCTACAGAAAATACTGGAGTGAAGAGTAAAAGTAGAGTTTTAAAAAAGGAACGTGAAAAGGTGCCAATTACTCTCTTTATTTTATTTATTTATAACTTAGAACAAGTTCCTACCTGTCCTGCAGCAGGAGTCCTCACTGCTGTCTTCAGGTAGGCTGTAAGTAACAGCAGCACAAAAGAAACGTAATGTTGAGGCACTTAGCTTCACCTGCCTCGAGCAAACTCTTTTTTTTCTCCCTTAACATTTCAGCACCACCTTTTCCTTGTGTCACATGTTTTCTATAGGCTACATTATTTTTGTCCGCCTGTCAACCGTTTAATCACGTCTGATGCGGAGTGAGTGTGTGATTGATTGATTCATTGATTGATTAGTCATTCAAACCGCCTCGGCTATGAGCCAACTCCGAAATGGCCGGAAAAAGGGGGGGGGACATAGATTTTGCCATATAAAATGGCTCAAACGTATATGCCGTTTTCACATTTGTACTTTTGGTACATAGACTTTGCATTTATAGGTGATTATAATGCTCTCTCATGGTAGAACTTGCAAGACAATTTCAAATGGTATAGAAACTTACATTTTCTCAAAAGTTCGCAACAATTTCAATAGGTATGAATAATTTTGGACTTGGAATTTTAAGTACAAATTTTTGTAAAAAGAAAAAACCATAGAAATAGTTATCATCAATATCTCTAACACAATATCTTACTGTCTTTGTCACTTGTTTCTGTCATTTCCAGCCAGATGAAACCTATTGGTAAAATTTTAATTTGGGTACGAATAATTTTGGGCTTAATAGTTTCATTTTCAAACTAAGTATCGGGGTACAAACATCCAGCACAATTCGAAACCAAATACTGCTATTTATGTCTCTGACAGAATCTATGTATTAACTCTCACCATAAATATACACTTCTTCTATATGTCTTTACAGGTAGCCTACATTTGGGAGAAGTGCTGTGAGCCGAGTGAAATAGAAAGAGGCCTATAGTTATTGTTAGGGTGGGGTGTCAAGTAAGACATGAAACAAACAGAAGATGTGAAACATTAGTCAAGTACTTTTCTGGCAAAAAATACAGATATTATATAAACAAAAGTATAGTGATTACTGTGGCCACCCCTTGTCTTAAACACATGTGCTGTGTACACACGTGGCAGAAATGAGTGCAACATGCTGTAAGTTACCATTTCAGCACAACTGAAGGTTACTGATCTTACAAAGTCTAATGCTCTTCCTCCTCCCTTCCCTTTCTCTGTACTCACTAACCAAAGTATCTGCAGCTACTGTGCGGACTGTACTGTGTCCATGTTTCAAAGAAATTTGGATGTTTATACTTTATACTATACTACTATATTTAAGTTATTTGTTGGATAATTATTTTTTCAGATGCAGATTCAGTTTGAGATCATTTGATATCATTTATATTGTGATCTGTCAACATATAATAAAGTTTGTGAAATAAGAAAATGTCTTGTCTTCTTTACAGACTCATTCACTACTATTAGTAAAGGTTTTTTATAAACCCTTTGTGGTAACATGATATCTTTGTAATACCACAGGTCCCGTACTAGTAAAATTAAAAAAGACCAAAACCTAAAAAATAAAGTGTCGTGGAAATTATATTCCTGGTGAGGGGCTGAGCAAATAATTGAGTTACAACAAACCGTTGTCTTTGAAGAATTTATTTAACAAAAGAGAATAAACAGAGAAGTACTACAACACTAATCAGCTGGACCAGAGGTTCTGTCTCCTAAGACAGTCCCTAACTTCTGGCCCCAAGCAAAGGGAAGCATCATCGTTTACACAGTCTAGGTTTCTATGTTTTGGGGAACAGAGATCCTCTCTCGGCCCTGAATGATCATTCCAGGAGAGGAACAACAAGAGGAAAGCACCAAAACAATCTCACAGCTCTGACCTAAACCCTGGTATGTGGACAGACGTATAGAAGTATAGCAGAGGAAAGGTTAAGGATAAAAACACAATACATAATAATAATAATAGTAAAAAATTAAATGTAAGAGGACACAATTTTCTGCTATAACATAAAGCACTTTATTCATGGCCGATGAAATAGAAACTTAAATTGGGTATTTATAATGCACGAAGTAGCAAAGCCATAACATTTATACAAAAACTGTCCAGATCATGTCCCATCTGGGTCACAGTGGTCATCATGACGCATCTTCCTGGGGATGCTTAGATTTTCCTGATGCTGCTGACCGCTGGTTTGTCTTCAGGCCTTTGCTTGACTGAAGCATGACAGACTCCGGACCCAGAGTCCAGCAGGTGAGTCTGGTGGGTCCGGGAACACCTCAAACATGAGTTTCTTCAGGTCACTCGGATGATCTGTAAAACACGAAAGAGTCACTGTTACTTTCAAACCAAACTCCAGAGTGGAAGAGGCGCAGTCCATCCTGAGTGACAGCCAGTGCGCTGCAGCAGCACCAACCGGAGTGCCAGCATTTGTATTTAAACTCAAACTTAGTATTTCTTGTTTGCTTGCTGGAATTCATAATTATTGGTGGTTGAACTGTGGGTTTTGTAATGAGCACTGACTGTAATGAACTTTGTGTTTATTGCCATCAGTAGGTACCTGATTATTTTTTCACTCCATGACTTGACACTTAAATTAACTTTCAGAGAAATTATGTGATACTTCTCCACTACTCACCCAGCAACCCATTTTACTGTCCCTTTCTAATCTGCATCCAATAAGGCTGACAGATAAAGTAAAACTCTATATTCATGTAGGGCTGCACATAACAATTATTTTTAGAATAGATTAATCTAACGATTACTTTTTCAATTAGTCGATTAATCTAATGAATGATTTTTGTGTATTCTAAAGGGGAAAATGTAGCCTATTAGTTGATTAATATAACAATTTATCCAAAATAAATATCAAAAACTAATTAATTAAAAAATATCAGTATTTTATTCAGTCATCCTTAGATAATGGTTATAGTAGCATATCTCAAAATTAATACAATTTCCACGTCACTGATGTGTTGTGATAATAACAGACATTAATTAGGCTAATTTACCTAAAACCTTAAATGTTTCTGACCTGGATGTATATCAACATAGAGTAATGCAGTATGATAATCAAACGTATTTCTGCATCAAGGAAAACAACTGAAACGATTCACAGACTGTACAGACAGTCAAAGACTGACAGTCTGTGATGTTGAATTCAGCGATGACCTTACAGTGTTGCGACTGCTCCTAAAATGACTCACTAAACAGAATTAACATGAGTTCAACAGCTAAGTATAAACTTGTACTTGAATAGGAGTCCTCTGCTGTCTTCTGTCAGCCTGGCAGGAAACACCTCTGCTGGCCTGTCTGCAAGAAACACTTCGATATCATCTCGAGATCATTGTCACCAATACTAGTATTGCAGTAATGTGAAGTATATCTCTGAATGAGAATGGGTTTGACACTGTCCAGCAGGACACTGATGTTACAGCTTTCGGGTATAAGCGAGTTAACGTTTTTTGCACGTGCCATGCATCGACCAGGTAAACTTACATAGGCTACTGCAGCAACAGACACACATACAGGCAACGGCGTGTGGGCTTAATGTCACAATACACAACAGAAACAGTTAGCCACATTAGCTGCAGAATAGGCTGACGCCAAGTTCAACAGGCAAGTGTTCAAAAAACAGAAAAGCTACATAAAAAATGGCACAACTTACAGGTTCCAAGTTTGAAGTCGGTATAGATCCATCCTTGAGTGTTCGGTTGATAGATTTCATTTGGTTGTGAAGTTACCGCCCAGTGTTGTGTGATGGTAGATACACAACTGAACCATGAGAACCTGAAGTGGCCTTCCAACTGAAGAGGAAGTGAGGTCATAACTGAGGACCCGCCTTGACGAGAGGACTGACAGATTGCATTTTCATTTTCATTGATGTCCCTTGGAAAGCTGCTTGTAAATGTAAATGCAATGCAATAGACTGGGGGCGCTGTTTCACTAATCGCATTTGAATAAAGTCCACTATAGAGCAGGTTAAGTCTTTGAAAATGTAATGTCTAATGCTGTTCTCATTTTCATTGTCACATAGTTACAAAATGGCATTTTAAAGTAACACTATGTAACATTTGCTCTCGGGGTCCCCCTACAGTTGGGAAACAGTATTGTCTTCTACTACTGCGCAGCGCTGACTTAACATGATGCATGCTGGACTTAAAATAAGGCTGGCTGGTTAGTAGACAAGCGATACCATCTTGAGCTCTCGCGGGTTCTCACGTCTTCGGCAGACTCCCTGGCTCTGCACGCCCAATTTTTCAGTTTTTTATTTGGAAAAAAGGTTTGAAATATCCAATAAATTTCGTTCCACTTCATAATTGTGTCCCACTTGTTGTTGATTCTTCACAAAAAATTACAGTTTTATATCTTTATGTTTGAAGCCTGAAATGTGGCAAAAGGTCGAAAAGTTCAAGGGGGCCGAATACTTTCGCAAGGCACTGTAGCTGAAAGTTCTCGATTATTCAACACAAAACTGTTTTTTGAAAATCCATGAAGCAATGAGCATTTGGATGACCGTATAGCTATGCTACTCAAATCAGAATCCGAATTCTCCACAGAGTCAGACACTCCTCCTCCTCCAACACACAACTATTGTGTGTAGTACACACATACGCACATGCACACAACGAAAGCCAAAACTGTTTGCTTACCCATTCCAATACAAGGCCAGTTCCCAGAGATTTCATTTCAACCTGAAATGGTGGTCTTCCTGGGCATTTTTCCAAAGTAATTTGGTCTGAAAAGGTACATACTTTCATAGGAAATTGCAGAAATTAAGTAAGCAGCTTCAGGTTGTCAAGGTAGGCGATGCAGGCCTTCTTTCCAACCAGGTCATTTTCAACTTTCAGATGGTCTGGCACATCGGACATCTGATCGTCGGTGGGGTTGGGAACAGCTACATCAAGCACGGTCTCGTCCATGGATATTTCTGGAAGCTGCTCAATATTCCCGACCTTTGATGCTGCACCACCAAACTCTGCATAAAAAGGCAAAATATGAACAGGTCTTAGATTTTTTAGTAGTGGAAAGTAACTACTACTACAAGTACAACCCTACAATATACTGATTGTGCATGAATGAAGCTAGTGAATATAACATACCGTAGTTGAAGAAAAGCATTGAATTCCTCATCAGAGCTGTCCCCATCCTCACAGAATCTTTGGTCTGTCCAGTTCTCATCCATTTCAATACTGTACATAAACACACATAAGCATAAGTGTGAAAGACATATCAATAACACAAAATGAAAACCGAGTCATTAGACAGACTTACATGCTCTCCCATCTGGAGAGTCATGCTGCTCTTCTTCCTCTACAACATCCAGAGATCGCATGCTGCAGATGAGTAAAATAGAGTTAGACGATAACAGTATAGATAAGAAGACATAGTGGGAAAAAGTAAATGAGCATTTAGTCCACATTAGTTCAAGCAAAAAACATTCATTCACTGTCTCAGATAAACTAAGAAGGCACAGAGCACAAACTGTTTCACCGTTGTTGGTGGCAGGCGTCACTCGCCTACAGCACTCAACACTCCTCAAACTGTTCCATTACACTCATGTGCAATTTGTCTGTGCCAGTAACAAATGGGCCAGTAGGTGAATGGCACAATAAGCAAATTCAGTTCTGTCAGAATCGGGTCTGCACAAGGGTCTACTTCACACATTTACTTTGCTTTACTTTAATTTGAATCAAGTTCAAACACGACTGTTATATGAGTGTTGCCGAAAAGACTGAAAACCAGAGGCTCACACCACCAACTCCAAGGAATATAGCCTTCTGCTATAAAAACTCACCTGGCCTCTAATATAGCGACCTCTTCTTCCAGTATTTGTGCTCCTTAAATGAGAAATTCACCCCTGAATCAAAACAGAAAATACGACATGAGAAAAAAATTGAAATGCTGGCCAAGGAAAACACGCAATGCCTATCCTGGTCCGACTCCTCTGTAATACTCGAGACCACAGGCTGTGGAGGTTCGCAGGGTAGTTTGTGGGGAGTAGATGTTACTTCCTGCTTTTGAGAGCTATAGGGAAATAACAGAGAATGTATTTGTCTAATTCAATTTCACAGCAAAAACACATACACATTATATCATTGTGACTTGAAGATGAATGAAGTTTACATGCTAAATCAGATAATGATTTTCAAACCTAAGTGCTTGTCCTAGCTGAAGTGAGCTAGTGGCTGGACTCTTCTGAATGTACATGAATTGACATTCTACAAAAAATACGTCTGTGTGATTAAACTCAGCGGTTTAGTCTGGGTGCTAGTGATAAGCAGGAATGTGAGAAGCAAAAAATCTCATAACAGGGGAATTACTTTGCTGATTATTCATAACAAGCATCACATTTGAGTTAGACTTTTGGTGAGGTATCATCATCATGCTCCGATCACAACAACCCTCCATGTCTGTAGAATCAAACCACATAGAAGTATTGCACATGAACAACAATAGGGTGGGAATTCGTCATCAGAAAAAATAGCTAAAAGAATCCTGTTTGGTTCTGTAACGTTAGCTAACAATCATCTGAAACAACACAATCAACTATACATGCAACTACTTAAAATCTATGAACACACTGTTAATATTACTAATCTTCCTCCCTTCATACTTTCTACATGTTTAGTAGACTAAACTTTTTGCTCAAATCAGAAAGAGAATGCTAGCTACAGAGACACTATAGAGACCAAAAATTTTAATTCTTTCACTCTCTCTACAGGGGAACCATACATACATAATCCAAAATCTAGTACCTTTCTCTTGTGGCCAAATATCATAAATTTAGACTTTGCCACAGAAACTTTAAATCCCAATTTATCAGCCCAATCCTCCACAGTAACTAAAGCCTTTTGCATTTGTTTTAAAATAAAATCTATGTTTATACCTCGTTTCCAAATGGCCCCATCATCTGCAAATAAAGACTGCCCAATCCCTTTTTCAATATTACTTTAGTATATATATTTTTTTTTATAACCTGTCCTGCAGCAGGCTGGTATAGAGTATGATGAGCTGGATACCATACTGTGCCAGACAGATTTACTTAAACAGGAGATTATTAATATACTCATTTGTCTGTTATTTATTTAATTATGTATTGATTTGTCACCGGGCCGGACAGGGGGGCAGACACGGGGATGGGGGGGCACAAACAGACAGCACAGAGAAGGGAGAACGCCTGAAAAACAACAACAAACAAACAATAAAAATAATAATATAGTAAAAGACAACCAGCCGAACAGCAGCAATAAACAGCTGACATAGACATATTAAGACAACTAAGAGAACAATGAAAACAAGAAACAGTCACACACTCTAAATAAGCAACACAACACAGCCACGAGAGCTGGAATAATAATTAATTTAAATAAGTAACTGAAAGAAAAGCATCAGGAATAATTCTACCAGGGACAACCTAAGTTTGTTTGTGTCTGTGTGTGTCTGTGTGCGTGTGGGTGAATGTGTCTGTATGTGTGTGTGTACATGTGTGTGCGCATAAGCCTGTTAAAGAATGTAGTTGTTAGAGAGAGTGAGACGCCACGACTGTAACAGGCAGGCAAGAACCCCAGTAGCCAATAGGGGTGGAAGAAAGAAAAACAATAAATCAAATAAAAAAAAACAAAGACTCCCAGATGCACCGCGATGCAAACGTGGAAGACCCCGACCCAACCAACAGACCCCCCCCCCCCCCCAAAAAAAATTAAAATAAAAACGACCATCCAAATGCCAATTGACAACATAATGCCAACGGAACGCAAGAGGTATAACCCGGGGAAGACCAGGGTTCCCCCCTATCCAGAACCCCACCGCCGCGCAGCGAACAACCAAAACGGCCATATGGCACGCATTCATCAACATCAATGCACAAGTGACGAGCCCAACGCGCAATGCCTGACACCCAATGCCCGGCAGCCCCGTCTCTGGTTCCCTGTGCTGCGGTTTCGCTGCTGGCCTTCAGCTCTGCCCGGCCTCCTGAGAGGTCTCGCCCTCGGCCCCGGCCCTCTGCACAGCCTCCGGAGAGGTCTGGCCCTCGTCCCCGGCCCCTGCACAGCCTCCGGAGAGGTCTGGCCCTCGTCCCCGGCCCCTGCACAGCCTCCGGAGAGGTCTGGCCCTCGTCCCCGGCCTCTGCACGGCTTTGGGGGTGGTGACGGTGCAGTGGATAAGACAGATGCCTTTGGTGTGAGAGACCGGGGTTCAACGCCCCACTGTGACCATCCACCAATGTGTCCCTGAGCAAGACACTAAACCCCTAGTTGCTCCAGAGGCGTGCGACCTAAAATGAATAAATGTAATGTTTCTGCCCAGTTAGCTTTACTTCCTGTTTTAGTTTGTAGTTAGTCTGCCCTAGTGTCTCTTGTCATGTTTTACTTTCTGCTTGTACTTGATTGTCTTAGTGGTCTCACCTGTGTGTAATTAGTTTCTCCCTCACCTGTGTATTGAAGTGGTTGTCCGTCTTTCACTTGTTGCCAGTACATTTTCGATGTTCCTTTGGATGTATCCGTGGATGTATTGTGGAGTTTCCAGTGTTTCTCGTGTCCTTGTGGATTTAGTTACTTTTGTTGGACTTTGGATTTTTGTGTTTTTGGGACTGCTCACACCTAACCACACTTGTAAGTTTCGACAATAAACCTCACCAAATCTCCAGTTTTTGTCTCAGTGTCTGCATTTGGGTCCTAACTTGTGTTCTCCAGCATTCAGCCAAGA